GAGAAAATATTTTTCAATTTTTTTTTCACATTTCGCGTTTCATTAAAAAACAGCCTGATATTGTGTTCTACAGTATTTGAAAATAAATTGAAAAGTGATGGGGGCAAGGTAAAATAATATTTTTCGCCATAATGAATGCTCTAAAATTTTGTGTTTTTTTTTGGGAATACAGTCTGACATATTGCATTTTATATCGAGGTTATGAAAAATGTTGAAGTTTGAAAATGTATTTAAAAAATAATTTTTTTTTAATTTAGCGCATTCTTTGGCTTAAATTAAGGCAGAGAAATTGACAAGTGACAGCACTGGGACATCATAATGTACTGTACAAGTATTGATCCTATCGGATCGTCTAAAATAGCTATGCTTAGCATAATTTGCATGATATCATTAACGGATTAATTATTTATGATCACGTTGCTCGATTTTTTTCCTTGGGACGCTGCTGCTGCTGAGAGCTTCTGCAAAATAATTAGCGCATATCCAACGCGAAAGATAATTCCTTTTATTTATTCCACGCTATCACTTCGAAATGAAGTTTGGCTAATTTTCTCCAAAAACTAAATTAAAATCTATTCCGCAAGCTTTTCTTTGCTTTTTGAGACCAGCATATTCTGTCAATTTTTTCACCAAGCACAATAAAACCAAGCAGATAATTTATTTTTCAGAAAGCTTTTATTGGGTGTCCGCTAAAAAAAAGTATCATCCTCCACGTAAATTCAGAGAAATGTCAGATTGAAACTGCATGATGAGGGCATATATGAATAAAAATATAAGAAAATAGTCATGAAAAACGCAGCTTTTTAATATCGTGAGAAGGGCAAGTAATCCTTTGACCTTTGTGTGCTGTATTTGACCTCTTTGAGCCAACAGATTTCCAGCTGCTGATTTATGTACTCGTTATTTATTTTAGAATCCCAGACATTCACCCCGACCAAGCTTTCAGATCCACGCGTAAATCTTCGGCGCCCGCATCCGGATTAAATATAAATTCTTCAGGACTCGGTGAATTTGTCGAAAAAAATAAAATTGTCGCGGAAATAACGTTTTGAATTCATTCAAACTACGCACAAGTATAGTAAAGTACTTTTGCTGCTGTATTTAAAGTTCTCTTTTTCCATTCACGAAGTTCAGGATTTTTTTTTTCGAAACTAAACCCCCGTTATTCCATCGTAATCTTCATGATGAGTTATGCTGTAAAAGTAAATTATTTATAAATTAACTTATTTTTCTCTAACTCGGCAAAAATATTTGGCATCAGAAAAAGGTGTGAATTACAATGAAGTGATGTAATAATATCAGATGATGTTTTTTCGAATATGAATAATTATCAGGTATCAAAAATCAATCAGATTCATATCAGTAGTGTCACTTCAGGTTTTTAGGAGCCAAAAAGAAACAGACGAATTTTCCGATTTAAAATGCATTGAAAAAAAATCTGTAATTTTTAAAGCACTTTGAAGGTTTCCCAGCCAGATAATGCGGCAAAATATGCCAAATTCGATTGATGAAGAAATCAGGAAATATTTTCAAAACTTCCGAATAAATAGAAATCACGAAAAGGGTAACGCAAAAATGTTCCAACTCGATTTTTCTGGAGAAGTTGCGTCAGTTTTATGTTTATCCGGTGTTTAATAACCGAGCCATCTCTTGAATCCTGAATATTTTTCCGCACACTCACAATTTCATTTAAATTATAGTCAAGGTTTTAATTTATTTTATCCCATTTAGGAAGGATTCCAAGTATGTTTCGAAGGGTTTCCTAAATAAAAACGCGCGACGGCAGCTGCGCAAAAATGTTTTCTTCCGAAATCTTCCACACAAAAAAAAATTTTGCCGGCAGTTTCATCATGTCGCCCTTTGGAAATACCCGTCCACTCGAATTCTATGCATTTTCAACAGCTTTAAATACTTTTCAGGTACAGTATTTCAAGGTTTCACATTTTTTGAACCCAAAAAATATGAAAATATGTTTGTCGTCAGTTTCCTCATCGATCAATGGAATAACCTGTCATTCTACTCGTTGAATCCTGAATAATTTCCACCACATTTAAAAATATTTTTCATGCATAATTTCAAGTTTTCACAATTTTTGAACCGAAAAATGTGAAAAAGTTTATCCTCAGTTCCATCATCAATCGTTGGAATAACCTGTCCTTGTACTCCTTCAATCTTGAATATTTTTAATACAGTATATTAAAATATTTTTTATACATTGCAAGGTTTTACATTTTTAAACCCAAAAATTGGAAAACATTTGTGTTGTCAACAGTTTCATCATCACTGATTGGAAGAACCTGTCCTTCTATACTCGTTGAATAATCCTGAATAATTTCCAGCAAATTTAAAAACACTTTTTATATATTTCAACGTTTCGCATTCTCCGAACCCATAAAATGTGAAGAATTATTGTGTCGTCCTCACTCCGTCAGTTTCATCATCACTCGTTGGAATAACCTGTCCTTCTATACTCGTTGAATCCTGAATATTTTCCAACGCGTCTAAAAATATTTTATTCCGTACATTTCAAGGCTTCACAAGCAGAAAACAAGGCGATGGAAATGTTTCGTGGAAGAAGCTCAAATTGCACGTACCATTCGTAAGTGCCGAGACTCACGCTTTTTTTTCTGTTATTTTTTTCCAAGGCGTGCCCATCAAAGTAACGTGTGTGCGAGCCCGACACGGTAAATCAATCCCCGCGGTGTCTTGTCGAACAAGTTCATCCACTCGTGAGTCCACGTGATTAGAAGACGAAGAAAAAGTATTCAAAATCTGTTTTTTTACAACAGCAAAAGGAAATAAAATAAGAGCCTAAGCTTGAAACGAACGGCTTTTCTGGGACTCACACATACACACACGCACGCAACGTCATGACCTTCTGAGTCCAGACGACTCTACTTAGTTTTTTTATTTTATATTTGTGTGACGAAGAAAACTTTTATAAAAAAAATAGAAGTGTACTTGTACGAAAGATTTACACAATCTTTTCTCAAAATAATGACCTGAAAGTCGAGGCTTCGACTTACAAACCGAACTAAATGCCAAAACTCGGAGTTAATTAGTTATCCGTAGGTCTTTTAACCTTCTAATTTTGTTCTAGAAGGGAAAAAAAATTGTTGAGGACAGAATTTCGTTGCAGAGAAACCCTATAACATTAGGGTGAACCCTTCGGGACCAAACAATTTTCTATATAAAGAAAATCGTCGGTGACAATATCGTTGTCGACGAGAGAGTTTTTCTTACATTAAAAACGGGGGAAATTTTCACCTTCATAAAATAATAAAAAATATAATCAAATATTTCCTGAATTGATGACGATGAGGCTTCTTCAAAAAATCATTCCTTTGGCTTATAGGACTCCAAAGATTAATCATCGATGATATATAATTATTGCATGAAATATTCCCATGAATTTATTAATTATTCCGACCAATTTCTCTCGATCAACACGAGTGAAAAAGATCTTGCAACACAATTTTTCACTTCTTGAATTTGAAATAATTTTTTTAAACCTTATTCACGAACTTATTAGGGAATGGAACTGAAGGGAACCTCAAGGACTTAAACTTTGGACGATTGTTTACAAGTCGTCAGAATTTTCTTCGTATTTTTTTAGAACTGCTGGATCAATTATTTTCTCGAAGTTTTCCGCACGTTTTCGGGCCTTTAAACTTTTTCTTCACGAATATTAGCAATGATTCTACTCTGAAAATTTGTAATTCAAAAGATAATATCGACTCTTCTTTGGTTCAAACTTCTAATTCACAGTGGGACCTAAAAGTTTGCATATCATCACAGCTTGAACTTTTCCTTCACTTGACAAGGTTCATTTGTTAGCCGACTGTAATCTCGCATTTTCTTGTATCTAACATCAAGTTACTCCTGTTCGCGAAGCTTATGTTTTTTTTAGATTGCGCGATAAACAAATAATCATAAGAGGAAATAGAGAAACAAAGAGTACTGAATATGCAAATTGATGTATTGTTTCGCTTTTGATTTGAGAGCTCGAAATTCCATTACGAATCCCTTGGTCGCAACTTCTGTATTAGGAAACACAGCAGAGGTCACAAATCAAGTCCATAAACTGGGTCGGAAGAAAGTTAATGCGTGGAAACCTTTGTTATCGGTTTTGTCTGCAGAAGAAGCGCAAAAAAAAGTATTCCAGTATAATTAATGATCGAGGAGAACGAAAAATCTACGCTTTATATTTTTAAAAATATTAGGAGCCTTTCCTCTTTTGATTTTTTTTTGTAAAAAAAAGCTTTCTGAAAAATTGAAACATAACTTGGGGGGGGGGGGGGGGGGGTTGGCTCCCTGGATTTCCTGACCGGATGCGGGCGCCGAAGATTTACGCGTGGATCTGAAAGCTTGGTCGGGGTGTTGGCTCACTGGATTTCCTGTAGAAATTAACTGGGAATTACGTTTTAAATTTTCAAAAAACTGTCAATGGAAATTTTCTTCTTTCGGTTTGAACTCACTTATTCTAAAGCTTTTTTCAAAATATCGAAACTTGATTTCTGAACAGAAATATATTTCGAATAATTTCGGAAACTGCATGACGATAAAACTACTCGAAAACAATTCTTAAAATACTAATTGTCTGATTTTATTCATATATCGCACTTTTAGAAATTAGTTCGAGTTTCTGATAAAGAAAAGGGGGTATTTTTATTTATGTTTTGGCAGTTGAGCGTCTCCATTTTAAAACAGTACATTTTGAGGAATATACTTTCGAAATAAAAATACCCTCCTGTCGACACGTAAACTCAATTATTTTGATTTATATGCAAGAGTGCAGCAAATGTCAAAAATTCAAGGCACAGAATTTACATTGCCTATTTTTCTCATTGCTTTTTTTAAATTTGAACAGCAGGTTTCCAATTATTAAGACCCAGCACATATGTTCATGGTGACTGTCCAACAGCCAATATTCAGTCTGAAACGAAGAACAGATCGCACTTGTTTTTTTTTTCTATAAAGAGCATTAAAGTAAGAAAAACGTTTGGAAGGTTATTTGTTTCCTCCCCAAGTCGTCTCTTTGTTCGTCATCTTCCCCAGGCTTGACAGAAAAAATCTTTCACGTCTCCCCCCTCGAAGACTTGAATTCGGGATAAAGTTACAACTTCCAGTACGAAGCAGGATTTATTATCACCGTTTTTTTTTTCCGTCGGTTAACGGATCGATCCTTATTTATTTCCCGAAAGGCGCCTTTTTTTATTCCTCGACTGCAAAGCAATGAATGCCGACGACTTTCAAAGGAGAAGCGCCGCGTGAAAATTTGTTCAGTGATTTTTTTTTTTTTTGAAAAGGAAATACGTGGGACACAAAATCCGGGATGAAACGCAGCGTCACGTTCTGCTGCGGCTTTCTGATTCTCTTGACGGTTTTTTCGGTGGTGGGTTTCAAAAATACCGTATTTACTGAAATTTATATATGTATTTATATACGGAAGGTATCGAATCTGAAAAGAATCTTTAATAAGTCGACGCAGTTTCTTCTATGCTGGAGAAAATCCATGCTGTATATTTTGGAAAATAAGTATTGGTGAAGATAAATTGAATTCAAGAGATTATGATGTCTGCATTAGGTTAGTTTTTGTTGTATTTCTGAGGTAAATTCAGGTCCGTATTTTTCTGACCAACTTTCAAATCATTTATGAAAATAATTTTCTCAGTTTTGTAAGAAAAAAATCAGATTGATTTCGGTCCTGAGATTTTTGATAGCTACGAAAGCTATCGAGTCTGAAAAAAGATCTTTAAGCCCACATAGTTTCTCTTATGCGAAAGGAAATCCATGCTTTGTTAGACATTTTTGCAAAGATTTATTAAATTTATTGGATTTTGATTTCTGAACTGCACGGTTATTTTTAGTTAAATTTCAGGTGTTGGGTCAGGTCAGGTTTTTTTAAACAAGCTTCAAATTATATTCGAAGTACTGTAATTTACTCAGCTCCTGAAACAATTTTCAAACTGATTCAGAAACCGGAATTTTATACTCATTCATTCCTTTTCAAGACCAAACATCATTTTTGTCAACTATATCAATTCCTTTGAATTTCTAGATTTTAGAGACAAACAGTTCAATGGAGAGTAAAATAAAAATATCAGCATCCAGCTGAATGATAGGATTGTGTAACTTCAGACGAGCCATACCGGTTTTAAATTATTGAAACCTTCCTAATCAAAATTGAGAATTTTACACAATATGTGTTGGACAGAAATTTAATCAAACTTTCACTCGATCTTTTCATAATGCTTTTGTCTGCTTTGTTTCAGAGTTTTTTGATATTTGTATGGTTTAAAATTTCTAGGGACACACTGGATATACAAGACTTGAACTTTTTGCAAGACCCTTGCTGATTGTTTCCGAAGTGTCTGACAACTGTGAAAAAGTGCTTCTTACATTCAAGGAAACTCGCTCCCTTTTATTTCATGTCAAAAGTTTCGGGGTCATTTCCCCGGAATTCTGACCTGATCCCAGCGGGTGGGGGGGGGGGATTTCGTTCAGAACTTTGCCTGTCTCATCCGAATTTAAAGTGCGAATATGGATTTCGCAGGGAATTTCACGGGCTTCCGGCGACGACGACGTCGGTCAAGAGGATGAGTCCAAAGTTTCCCAGGACGCGGAGTTGCTGAGAAAGATCAGCAACAAACTCAGGGACCCGAGTTTGTCGCGGCAGCAGCGAGAGTTTCTCAAGTTGATTAAAGCTGCAGGTTTGTTTTGTCAATCACTCTTTTCAAACTTGAAAAAAGGGCTCTCAACACTCGGAAAACTTTGACATCAACCTGTGGCATTTGACACAGACGGAGTCTATATCGAGTCGAAAATAATCCGGACGAGTAGACAACTTATTTGCTGTAGTGTTGAGATCTCGACAGACTTACATTTTCCGCGGAAATTTAATCCAACCAGAAAATTTGGGAAAACGGTCAAATTAACTGCATAATTCGAGCGGGCTGTAAAACCACTAAATTGTTTCAAAAATGAAAATGCAGAGAAACGTTTGATCTTCTGCTCTAGAAATTATCGCAATAAATGCGAAATAAAATATGAAGCCTGAAATTCGCGTGAGAAAATCTTTCTTGTGCGTCAATAAACACTTCTAGAGGATCTTCAGATATTGAAGAAAGATTCATTGTTTTATTTAGGAATTTGATCAAAATCATACATTAAATAAATAAGATGAATCGAGATTTTTTTTACCCTGCCCCGATTGTTCTCTTCAGAAATACTGTGGATCCCTTTTGACAAAGGACATTGACATCAATATGTATTCGTTTGAATAGCAATTTTGTTTACCAGCTTTCACTCGTTATCTGGTTTTGAGCGACATCTACTATGAAGTAGTTCACGACGAAACTTTAGTTTCCACTCAGTTCCTCTAGGAGTGCTGGAATTTGACGTGAAAAAGATCATCTGTGATTATAGTCGGAATTGATTTTCAAAACTAAAAACAGCTCCATCATTCTGAAAGGTCTCTTTGAAGCCTAAAAATTCAAGAATTCCGGGTCAATTAATTTTAGCGATAGCATTAAAGTATCTAATTTTCCGTGGTAATAACATTTGAAACTTCCTATTTCGAGAAAGTGCTTCTTGCATAATAATCATTGAATACCTTAATTTTTGGATTAGAAAGCTCTGTAAGCCTTCAAGATCCCAAAAAATTATTTGTCGTTTGAAAAGGGCATACATTTTTTAATTCTGTGAGAATAAAGTTCGAATTTTTCAGACTGTTGATGATTTTTTTATCCATGCGGAAATTTATAATTTTTTATTCACTGTCATGTGATTTTTTAAATTGTTCATATCTTGCAATTTCCCACAATTTTTGTCTTGTTCATCTCATCAATGAAGATTTGCTCAATCCGATCTTCCTGTGCCAATTCACCACTAATTCCATAAAAATTTATAGTAATGTGAAGAAACATCGCGCGGGTATTAGCGTAATTAAAAATTATTGAAAGTGAGCTTAATTCCTAGTGAATATGTGGAGCATTCTTTCCTCATCAAGCATATTTATTCGTTCCTTTTTTTCGAAGGGGGAAGAAAGCCGTCTTCGGAGCAGACTGAGGAACCCGGATCGACAGTTTACCAGGACCCAGAACCCAGGAAAATATTGTCCAGGAGCGAACGTGTTACGGATTCCCCCAAGCAAGATGCTCCTGTCGATGCAACACGACGTTTCGCTCTACCATTTCTCTCAAAGAAAACATTTCGTCCCAGGCCGCATTATTGGAAACACAGGTGATCACAATCACGTAACACACGTGTGTATACTGTATTCCAGTATAAGAGCGATCTTTTGAGATGAAGTTGAATCTCGGAGATGATAGTCCACTGTTTCAGTTCCGTAACTCCCGAAGTCCCGAGTCCTGACTGGAATGAATGTACTGTACTATATGCTCGTATGAAGTTACTAGCGCAATCTAGGGTTGGTTACGCGCAACACACATTTTGTTTAAAAACAGAGAGTACACAGATGTCGCGCTCATCCCACTTCAGCTCTGCGGACTTGCGGAGTATTGTTCAGCCTTTTACTTCTGTTGGTGACTGAAGTCACTACAACAAGAAAGCTAGGCTGTAAGAAAGAAATTAGTAGATAAAAGATTGTCAAGAAAAACACAGAATCAGCCCGGGACAGGGGCCGGGAATTCGCGGTGGAATCCCTATTTAAACGTTAAAGTATATTTCAAAAAGTCCCAAAGTTGAGATAGTGAACAAGGCAAACAACACAAAAATTAGATGATTTTCGACAAATATGTTTTCAGAAAAACCTCTCAAAAAACCTCTGGTCACGCTGCGGCGGCAACAAAACGAGAACTGTGTTGATTTCATGAAGGCAAGGGGTATTTATTGATTTCTTTTCCTGCTCTTGATCAAGGAGGCTTGATCAAGGGCAGGGAAATCTTGAAGGCCTGGGATTGGCCGACAAATTAGTAATCGAAGACGTCTTGGCGCCAAGACAGACGTCTTGGCGCCAAGAAATTTTTATTTTTTCTTGGGGAGGGGAAACCGTTGACGGATTTCATCCGTTTTTTACGCACGGGTGGTTTTCCACCCGATTAGATATTTTTAATTGATTTTATTCGGGGTGCGCCGCGAGTCCCCAACAGATATGAATGCTTTAAATTTGGTCTTTTCCTCTCAATTATTCGAGCTTCGCAGTCATCATCATTTATACATTTTTGTTTTAAGCTCATCATCGTAGTTGTTATGACTTTTTGACCTCAAGGCATTCATTTAATTTTTTCTTGGGGAGGGGAAACCGTTGACGGATTTCATCCGTTTTTTACGCGCGGGTGGTTTTCCACCCGATTAGATATTTTTAATTGATTTTATTCGGGGTGCGCCGCGAGTCCCCAACATAATCCCCCCTGCCCAGTAAAGGAGCCCGCCGTCAGGCGTGCTCTTTCACTGGGCATTTGGCTCTTAAACGCCATGACAGGGATTCGCGTGCGCAATGGTTACCCGGCCATTAGCTTCATTTTGAAAGTTTCTACGTCAGAGGGTCTGTGAGAGGGTCCCTTATCTTTTGATACGTGCGCTTATTTGAATTCGGAAGTGATCAGTTTCTGAATTCAAATAATTTTTATGCTCTATTCAAACGTTTCATTCAATATATCACATTCACAGGTTTCTTTGCGTTCATTTTGATTGATAGATTCGCGTGTCTTGTCCGATTTTGCTAATTTTTTATTTTCGCGAGTTTCTCATAGAACTTTTCGCCGATTTCACAATCTTTTCTTGCCGAAGTGTTCCTCTGAGTCTTCCTTGAAGTTTCTTGAGTTTTTTCCGCGATGGCTGGGCTTGATGAAGGACTGATGGATGTGGCTACCGGTTCGCCTTCTTCGGATCTTCTTGGTGATGTTCCTGACGAAGGTTTGTCGTCTCTTCTTTTTTCTTTCTTATATCTTTCTTTTTGCTGAGTGTAATTTCAACTCTCATGCTTTCTTTTTGGCGAGTGTAATTTCAACTCTATTTTTCTTTGCGAGTGTATTTTCAACTCTGGCCTGTAATTCTTTCACATTCAAATGAAATATTTCGTTCGAATTTTTCTTTTGATTGAGCTCATTTATGCAATTTCCAGCTTGTTTCATTTCTATTCTCCTTATCTTATTTTCATATCATATTTTTTGTCATTCTCATCATTTTTTGTTTTTTTTTTTATTCTTTTTGATTATTTCTTTTGATT